GGTGAGACTGCCTTTAATTAAAAGCGTCGTACGTTCGCTTAATTCAATGTAAAACAAACACCAACACCACCGCGAATGGTATTTCGCACAAAAGGACTCATTTCGATGATAAGTATGTAGATAGGAAGTTCATACATGCGAGCCTGGTAGGCTGCTTCCGGCATTGGATTATTGCATTTTTGCTTGATACCTCCATACATACATATGTATATGCTCCCTCTCCAACCTGCCAAAGTATACTCAGATGTACGTCACCACTGCTGCCATTGAAAGTAATCACTCGCTAATTTTTTTTTCCAATTTCGAAGGATATATTTTTAAACACTTTTTCTGGGTCCATGAAAATATAAGAATATGATTTTTATAATTTTTTTCTGTTATTCTAACGTTGGATCTAAAAAATTAAATCTGAAAATAACGGTAATGGTATAATTACGGTGACCATGCGTCTTGTAATGTACGACGCAATCCTTTTTTTTTGTCAATTATCGTGGTAATTTATTTATTTATCAGTTTTAAGTGCTGTTAGCATACCATCAGTGTTGCCACACATGGACTTTTTCTACCAAAACTGGTAGGTTTTTTCTTAAGGATAACTGTTGTTGGAAAGCGCAATACCAATGCTGTTGGCATATGCAGATGTTCCTGAAATTGTTGGCTTCAACACTTGGGCCGTGAGTGCGACATTTTCAAGCTTATAGGAAGAGGCAAACGAGGTTAGTCAAGACAAAATACCAAATACAAAATACGCATAGATGATGATGCTCCTGTCGAGAAATCGTTCGACTCGGCACATGTGGCTAGAAAACGAAAGCGAGAAATATTTTTAGTTGACTTTTTTCTGGGTGTAGTATTTGCCCATATCTACATACATGTATTACTCAAAAGTATGTCGAGCGTTTGCTGCAGAACTTCGTTCACGGGAGGAAAGCGCACTGTCAGGCCTCAAAACGCAGTGTCGTTGTTAAAACAATCCATTTAACGCCAGTAATGATACATTCTTTTTCTTCTTATTTGGCGCTGCAATCGCTTAAGTGATTTTGGCCGAGTTCCACAAAGAACGCCAGTCGTTTCTCTTCTGTGCCAACTGACGCCAATTGGAAATGCCAAGTGAAGCCAAGTCCTTCTCCACTTGGTCTTTCCAACGCAGTCTGATACCACCAGTGGGATCCGAGTTGAATACTTTCGGAGCTGGAGCGTCGCAGTCCATTCGAAAGACAAGGCCAAGACAGCGGAGCCGCTGTATTTTAATTCGCTGCACTATGTCCGCGTCGTTGTAAAGCTCATACAGCTCATCGTTCCATCGTCTGTGGTACTCGCCGTCGCCAACGCGTAAAGGCCCGTAAATCTTCCGCAAAATCTTTCTCTCGAATACTCCAAGAGCCGCCTCATCGGATGTTGTTATTATCCATGCTTCGGCGGCATATATCAACGCAGTCATGATAAGCGACTTATAGAATGTGGTTTTCGTACGTCGAGATAGGACTTTACTCCTGAATTGCCTACTCAGTCCAAAGTAGCACTTGTTGGCAGGAGTGATTCTGAGTTGGATTTCCATGCTGACATTATTATCGGTGTTACTGCTGGTTCCCAAGTAAACGAAATTCTCTACTTTCTCGAAATTGTAACTGTCAACAGTGACGTGGGTGCAGAGGCGGTGCCGTGCTGTTTTTTTTTTTTTGATGACAGGAGATACTTCGTCTTGTTCTCGTTTACCACCAGACCCATTCTAAATTGGAAAAGGCAGAACAGACTTCGCGGTTCTTTNTCTACTTTCTCGAAATTGTAACTGTCAACAGTGACGTGGGTGCAGAGGCGGTGCCGTGCTGTTTTTTTTTTTTTGATGACAGGAGATACTTCGTCTTGTTCTCGTTTACCACCAGACCCATTCTAAATTGGAAAAGGCAGAACAGACTTCGCGGTTCTTTTTACCGATGATGTCGATGTCATCGGCGTAAGCCAGCAATTGCACGCTCTTGTAGTAAATTGTTCCTGAGCGGTTGAGTTCTGCAGCTATTATTATCTTTTCCAACATCAGATTAATGAAGTCACATGAAAGGGAGTCGCCTTGTCTGAAACCCCGTTTGGTGGCGAGCGGCTCGGAGAGGTCTTTTCCAATTCTGACGGAGCTGGTGGTATTGCTCAACGTCATTTTTCACAGCCGTATGAGTTTTGAGGGGATGCCAAATTCAGACATCGCGGCGTTGCCTTTTAGTGCTATCGAAAGCGGCTTTGAAGTCTACAAATAGGTGGTGAGTGTCGATCCTTTTCTCGCGGGTCTTTTCCAAGATTTGGCGTTTTGTGAATACCTGGTCTATGGTGGATTTGCCAGCCACACTTATAAGGCCCAATCAGTTCGTTGAAGGTGGGTTTCAACCTTTCACACAATACGCTCGATAAAACATTGTGCGGAAATGGCAGGCAAATTTAAATTCCAGTCGTTGGGCATGCATTCATCTCACTATATTCTGCGTAAGAGTTGATGCATGCACCTTATCAACTCCTCGCCGCCGTACTTGAATAGCTCAGCTGGTAGGCTGTCAGCTCCAGCAGCTTTGTTGTTTTACTAGCGCGCTATTGCTATTCGTACCTCGTCATAGTCAGGTGGAGGCACATGGACTCCGTCATCATCGACCGGGGTCGTCTTCTCTACAGATTTCAGAGTTGTTGCCATTCAGTAGGGTGGAGAAGTGTTCCGTCTATAATTTAAGTATGTTCTGGACATCAGTTACTATAGGTCGCCATTGTTGTTCTTACAAGAGTTCTCCCTGGCCTTAAAACCTTCTGTAAGTCGCCTAACTCTCTGACAAAATTTTCGGGCGTTTTTCCTGTCGGCATATTCGTACTCACGTTTTAGGGCTCTCTCTTCTTAATGCGGCAAATACGTCTCGTTTCCCTCTTCAGCTCCCTGTAAAGGTCCCACATAGCGAGCGTTGCGCCCGATCGCAGCGTGGCTCTATAGGCAGCATCTTTTTCTCTGCATCATCTTCACACTCCTCATCGTACCAGTTGTTCTTACGGGCTCGCTGAAATCTGGCTATTTCTTCGGCGGCGTTACTTAATGAGGGGGAAATGTGGTTCCACTGCTCGCATATGTCGGTTTGTTGAGGGGTGCTCTCTGGGTGCTCTCTGTTGTGATTGCCGCTTTTCGACGTTAAGTTTCCTTGCATTTTTGGGCGCACATTTTTTGAGGCGGATTCGTATCTTAGCTGCAACAGGATAGTGGTCCGAGTCGACGTTTGGACCTCGGAGAGTACGTACGTCCAAAACACTGTAAGCGTTATGTAGCTTGATGAATCTTTTTATGCTTGAACCTAGCACTGCATACTATCATGTTTCGGGCCCCGGCGAAGTCGATCAGCCTCAGTTCGTTGTCGGACTTTCGTCGAGGAGGCTGAATTTTCCGACGGTGGTTCCAAAGATCCCTTCCTTGTCCATCCTGTCATTGAAGTTGGCAAGTATGATTTTGATATCATGGCGGATACCTCGTCCTTCTCTTCCGTCGGGGCATGAGCGCAGATTAGCGAAAGGAATGGTACATACATACGTCTAATATCTTGTCTAACGTCTTGTCAAAATTCATATACTCAACTAACGACAAAGATCCCTAATAAATCACAAACACATAAATTGATGTAAGAATTTGAGAATATAATGCAAATTTTATAAAATACTTGTCATGTTCTAGGCTCACTAATTATACCAAAGAGACTTTCATGGACACTAATTAACAACTTTTTCAGCACATAATCTACAAGTCCTCAATGGAAAATATCCTTAAAGAATCAGTTAATTAAATGAGAATTTTACTGCCATCCATATGGCTTGGAAACTTTTTGAAAGAGAAGACATAAGCCCGCTTATGAATGTAAAACCAAATGAATGAATGAATGTATGTACATACAAACATATTTTCAAAAGCCAATATAAGAAACGATACACTGAATTTATTTTATTAATTTGCTTTTCACATATGTATGTATGTATTTATGTATTTTAATATGTAGTATGCTTATGTACATATTCATATATATTACATACTAACACTTTTTGTGGCTAATGTAAACATACATTCATATTTAGTAAGGAGTGGTTTAGTCACCTCTTTTGCTTAAAACCACAAAACCAACTACTACAGCGTAAACCACGCCTACAATCTTATGTTTCCAACAAAAGAGTTGAATTGCAAACAAAACCACAAAAATTACAGAAAATGGGAGAGGGCGAATTCCTACTTATGTACTTACATATGATTGTATATGCACAAAGCGGTAGATAAATAAGAAAAGCAAAACTCTCAAGTGAATTATGTGCGCGCTGCGCTACCCCAGTTGTGGCCGACGAGCGCCATAATATTACCCCGCCACGGCGCGCTACCAAGCTAGAGTTGGAGGCGTTTGGATGGCCGGCATTCCAGTGTCGTAGAGCGATTGCCGCCAAGGCATGGCGGGCGGTGCGCGGTAGCAAGAGCGCATGCAGCGGAAATGCACTGCCATACGAACGAGTTAGAGCGCAACAACGAGTAACGAGTTGTTAATTCCGGTTTTTCACGCAAAATGCCTGTGGTGGCGCTGTCATCAATGCGTCAATGATATAGCGCTTACGTGTTTGAGGGCAGGCGTGGCCTAAATACGGCCACCACACCCCGTGTTGACGAAGCGCGCTGAGAGGCAAGCAGGGCGATGGGCTTTTAATGGCTCTTTTCCACATCGCGTTGCAATGTTCTTCTCTTTTTCACTACAGCGCCGCAGCGGCAGTCCACGCGCTCGACGCAACAGAAGCCAACGCGCTCTTTTCACCTTCATCGACTCACTATAAATGCCAATTACCAGCAAACGCTCCCTTTTTTGCCTTGCGCTTGTGTGCATTTATTGCTCTCCCGCTCTACTGCTTGCGCACGCTCTTATCATCTAAGCCGCGGGTGTGTGTGCGTTGAATGTGCGGCGCGGCCTCTGCAAACACCCGTCCGAACTCGCAACTAGTTTGTGCTCGAACGTGAATAAGCGCGCATCGGCAAGCAAGTGTGGGCACGCGAAAACGAGTTTGACGTGTGCAGCAGAGGCGACGCAATCTAGACGAGCGCACATACAAAATACACCAGAAAATAAAAGAGGCAACAGCGCGCCACGGAGGGGTGTGGCTGCTGATTGCATTGCGCGTACCGGCCGCTAGAGTGCGTCACTGCATTGCCGTGCAAACGCAGTGATTTTTCCAATTAGAAAATACCGGAAGTTGCGCTGCAACAGCGACGGCTGAAAGTAGTGTCACAATGGCGATTTCAAAAGCTAAGTAAACGTCGGCGAGCATCACTACGAAGAAATATGACTGTCGTAATTGAAAAGTGATGAATTTAATAACAGGCGCGTGTTGATTTTTAAAAAGAAAACAAGTAATAAGCCTTGTGCGATATACTGCAAGAGAAATTTTTATAGAAATTACCGTCGGCAACACCACTTAAAAATATACATTCAAGAGCAAAAAAAAATTTAGTTTTAAGGTAACGAACTTAAAAGCTAAGTGCTTTTTGGTTTCGCAGTCTAAAAGGTTGTGTGCCTGCGGTGGCTTAATTTAAGTCACAAAAAATATTCTACTAAAAATAACGAAAACGTTGCGAACTGCATCAGTCAAAGTGTCAAATTACCCCCAAAACAAGTTTCGGCAGCGCTGCGCTGTTGTTGTTATTATAATTGTAGACGGTTGCGAAGATTGTGAGATGGCCATGAACAGGGTAGCAGACGGGGGGTTCAAGTTGGGTTTGCGGTTGGACGGCTTTTCGGCACGTACAGGCCGATAGGTAGGCTGACGGTAAGCAAAATCTTGACCCTGTCAACAAACAAAACAAAACAAAAAACTGCCTTAACAGTGAAATCGAGAGCAACAGCAACAAAATTAAAAGAAACAATTATAACAACAACAGCAAAATTTCGGTTAGTTAGTAGCCAAACGGCCATTAGAACGCTGACCTGTCACAGACCTGTGAACAGACACAAGTTTTAGATTGCCACTAACACTTGGCATTCGTATGTCAAGTCAACTGTCAAATATGCGCAAACGAATGCGCAAATTCGCATTAAAAACTTTTCACTAAAACGACGCGCGCTTTCAGTTGCTGACCGAAAACAATTACCTACCGGTCATTTGGAATGTCAAACAGTGGCGTAATGTGGCAGAACTTCCTGTGAAGCAGTGGTCTGCTGTGAAAAAAGTTTTGAAGTGGCTATAATAAAACAACAATAACAAAAATTTGTATTTAATCACACATGTATTAAAAAAATTATATATATTTTTAGTTTGAAGTTCTGTGATTGGTGGTCTACAGTTGCGCCTGAAACGCTGACTCATAAAGTTTTTTTTTTTTTGCTAATTATAATTTTTCAATAATTGATTGGTGAAAATCCGGCATTATTTGGAAAGTGAAACTTAGTGATTTGCTAGCATATTCAATAAACAATGGCTGCTTATGCCCAATATAACGGCTGTGGTTATCCGTCGGCAAATCAAGTAAGTTTATGCATCACTCTTTTAATTGTTATATGTTGTTAGAAGCTAAATAAGTACATTACTATTTATACATGGCCATAGCCAGGTAGGGGCCGGGCTGCGCGGGTTTCTAAATCAAAATAATATTTTTTTCTAAATAGAAAGAAACAGAATGAACAAATCTCATTGTCCGCTTCGCTCAATCAGGAAGAAGGGGGCAACGAAACGGCGACACTTTTTCTATAAAAGAAAATGTATTTGAATATGGACGTATATGTATATGTTCTTGTCTACATACTATCTCATATCGTCGCTAAAATGCAAAAAAAGCCGTAACTAAAACTTTTTATTGCATGAAACGATGTGGGGACTCATACTCGATGAAAGGCATCATAATCAATCAAAAAGTGAATTATGAATTTTTTGTTAGTTCCTACTTTTGTATTTCAGCGACGATGGGAAATATCATTTCTATATTACAAGCACAAGAGTCAACAGCTGGAGAAAAAAAAATAAAAAATCGACCGCTTATGAGAGCTTTCAGTGTATATAAAAAGAGTACCTTGAAATGCTAGCTTAATAGTGTAGACTCTTTTTCTGCAAATTATTATTATACCCATTTGAAAAACAAAATGGAACACGTACCAGAAACAAACGTAAAGTTAGTTCTACAAATTCTTATGAGTATCTACATAGCATATCCGGCATCTACTATCATTTTGAATGTAGTATATCTATGTGACGCCTTAAAAACTAGATCATATATTTTACAATAAATTGGTGAAATCATTTTGTTTTCTTTTGCAAAAGTTATAGTTCTCCAACTAAATAATAAGGGCCTATCTAAATTTCACCATTGCAGCGCCACCTAGTGGGTCTATTTTTGCAAAAAAAAAAAGGAAAATGTTTTGCTGTCAAAAATATAATAATACCATGTCCCCACCGGAGCTAACCACGTAGTTATGACTGTTGAGTTGGTTATCCCGATAACCCACTTGATTTAGCGTAGTTTCGCCATATAAAAATGGCAGCACTTAACCATTTCACTGAGATGGTTAAAAGCTAACAAACTCAAAACCACGTCGAAAGTCTGATACAACCCTGTGTTTTCCCGCCATCTGTGGGTAATTAGCGTTAAAATGTAAAAAATTCGTTCCCTACTAATGTTTGGACTTAACTAAGGTCAGATTAGATTTACTCCGGTTTTTGAAAAAATTTGAAATCTAACCCTCTACTCCGGTTGACTTGAAATCTATTCCGGTTTTTTTTTTCATTCATGTTATACCCTTCTTGGGACCGTTTTTTGAGTGCTCACCTCCGGTTTCAGTAAAAAAATTGAAAGTTAGCCAAATCTCACAGTTAAAAAGTAACTCTTTCATTGCAATGCTTTAATAAAGTAACTTCGTTATTTTTTGATGTATGGCTATAGAAATTGGGGGATGCAGAACTTTACTTAAGTTGTTAAAAAATATATGTTATGTAGAATGAAATTTATATAAAGTAAAAAAGGTTTACATCCTATTGTTATTAAAAAAATTAAATGTTAGATACATTCTAATTTATATACAATGCTGAAAATTACCTAAATATGTAACATATTATCCTTACATTTGCATGAATAGAAAATATTTAAGTCAAACAATTAATGTCAGAAACGAAAATAGAAAATCTAGTACGGAAAATTTTGTTTTTGCTCAGATTTTTAATCCTGAATCGACTTTTGGAGGTCCGAATACTGTTCTCTACATTTGTACTGTTTTATAAACCTCAAACCGCAGTGCAGACAGCAATATTTAGTCAGTGATGAGGTTAAGTTCGATTTGAGATGGTTAACATTTTGGTGGGGATATGGTATAAGGAATATCAATTAAATCGAACCATGACTACATCAGCTCACCTTTGGGGTATGAAAATTCCCTTTAAGTTAGAGCCTTGGATTTATGTAATTTCAGAAGTAAAACATTCGGAAGATATTATTCAGAACGTCTTAGCTATTATCGCAGCGTGGTCAAATGAGTACGGATAGAATGCCTCTTCACAAATAAAATCAAAATTTCAAAAAATGGTGAAGAAAAATCAAGCGTCAGGGCAAAAAATGGACACTGAAACCAAAGTTATAAACAGGGAACTTACTTATAGGATCTAAAAACCTATAAAAAAAGGCAAAATAAACCAGCTAATAGGAAAAGGCACTAAAATTCGGAAAAAGGCAAGAAAAAGGCACAAAATACCGAAAAATAGCAAAACTACATTTATTTTCGAGGTTATAATTTTACACGAAAAACGAATAAATTATAAACTAGGCTCATAATAGGTAAGATTTGCACTTTATTCAATAAGCAACTCAAAAATTAACCTAAATTCATTTTATCAAAAATCTTATTTATTTTCTAAAAATTTATGTACAGATGTACTTAAAGAAAAATACTCAATTTGGCAGAAATATGGGCATATGTTGTATATAGATAGCAGTATCTTTTCAATATCTCATGGAATTTTTGCAAAAATTGCCTTTATCTCAACAAAATAAAAATATATAAATAAAAACATTTTTTAATCGCCTAATTAGTTGTATGTATTTGAAAATTCTATAACTAAATAAGACATGGATTCAGCTCTCATTTGATATGCAATAACGACGGCTGAGTGGAAGATCGACCTATCTCGTCAGCCAGTTGGAAAACGCTCTATCTCAACATATTTCCAATATATGAGATAGGGCATTTTTGAACCAAATTCTGAGATAGGGCTCTCTTTTAAATTTTAAATAGGCTATAATGATTTAATTAAAGGCAAATGTGATAAAAAAATAAACATCAGATGTTTATATTTGGATTGAAGGAAAGGTAAATGGTAATTTTTAATCGAAACTGCTCTTTCTGTTAGCAAAAAAAAGCCATTCTCCATAAAACAAAAGAAGGGTTGAATTACCAAAGCGTAGAGTAACTTGACGCATATGGGCCACGCTCTTCTCTTGGGACTTAATCTTTGGCACATACTTACATATATCGCCGTCAAAACTTTTCCACGATCTATGAGACATATTGGCATCTGATTTTCATATATTGAGATCAAAGATGTTGTCACACAAAATGAGGAGACCTACAAGTTTGCGAAGCCTCCGAACGGCAGATGGTTTATTATGAGAAGTTTTTTTATGACAGAGATACAATGGGGGTTTTTTCCATTACTTGTAGAGGTGTACACTACCAATCAGGAATGAATCGAAATTAAAGAAAAAGATGCTGTCTATTCTCGGTCACCCCTCGGAAAACAACGGCAAAGAACTGAGTGCATTATTTTTTGCCATAAAAAGCTTCTCACAAAAAGTTCAGCACAAATTAGAGGCGAGGCTCGACGAAGACTTTTGAACTTTGTATATGTATACTCGTATTTCTGGGTGTATGTGACGATTTGGGAACAGATACTGGTATTTCCAAAATCGTCATAGCAACAGCGCAAACAAGCAATAATTTTATAAAAGGCGATTGAAATGAAAACATCCGAAAAATTAAGGGAAAAACTTTTGTTGAAGTGAAAATGTCAAGAATGATGTTGAAAGATTTTAATTTCTCCAAAAAATTTGTTTAACTCTTTGGTATACATACTTGACGGTAGGATTGTTCCTTTAAGAAATATAAATCTTCTTTATTCAACTTAACTCTAGAACACTAATTTTAGCCAATTCGAATAACACAGTTTATGTTTTGTGGTGAAGTTTCTTGAAAATGCATTTTTTGAAACTGAATTTTCGTTAATTAAACTACAACATAACCGCATAACTGCTGTTTTGTTTCGGTAAGAAAATATTAAAATAATAACGTATGGAATATTTTTTGATGATTGATACTTTAAAACTTAAAAGAAAAATCTGTGCAAAATGCATGTTAGTCGACTCGACTAATAATTACAGGCTAACCTAATATTCACGCACGCCGCCAATTTATTGTCAAAAATTTCTCATGCACATGCAACTTGTATGAGATCAACCGAAATTGAACGGCGTGCGTATGAAGCTAACTCAATTTCCAATTTTTGTTCTGCGTGACATTTTGATTTGACGTTTCGCTCAATGAAATCAAATGCAAACGCATGCAAGTCAATTTCGGGTGACGCAAAAAAACAAATTCGACGGCATGCGTACCAAAACGCAAGCCGCGAATATTAGGTTAGCCTGTTAGTGTTAGCGTATTAAAAATATGATTAGTGTTCCAGGGTTAAAGCATAGAATTTTTCAATACCCGAGGCGACTTTAAATCCATTAAATATCCATTTATGATTGTAATGAGAATTTCAGGGTGTTAGAAAATTGCTAATCATGGTTTCGGGAATTATTTGGTCAGACCTATTGCTGAATTTCCACTAGGCATTAAATGGCCTTTTAATGATGATGTCTTACTCAAAAAACGGTATTTAGCTGCATAATTGGTTCCGGTGTCCTGATTACCACAAAACTTTAAGTTGATTGCGAAGGAGTACAATTAAAGATATCTCTAAAATTTGATGTCGAAAAGACATTGGGAAAAAGATCGCCGTACCGTTTTTCCAAAGACGCTATCATAACCCTCTTTCATTGTGTTGGAATATGGTTTTCCCACGACTTTTAAACGTTTGACTTATATTCATTCATAAGATTTACAAAGGTACGCTTTTTGCAGACAAGTTATGATTCTCATAAATATCGCCTTAACTTTTTATCATAAAAATGCCATTATTGTGAATCAAGTCAAATTTACCAAAAAGGCTAATCGAAGGGTTGGAAATTGTATCATTTTTTCCTGCATAAAGATTTTTTGTTTGACCGAGCTTCTCCTCGTATTTCGGCGTGCGCCTATGTACTTACGATAAAATATATAACATACGATACACAAAATTATATTTATCCCTTATTCGACATTTTTTCAAAGAAAATCGCAGTCACCTATTTTCACTATTGCTTATGAAACATCTAAGATTAGTTTTCACTAATTTGTTCCCGCCATACCGACTTCTTGTTGATGAAATCAATAAAAATCAACAAC